GCCTCCGGGCGAAGTCGTGGGATGGGCTTTTAAAAAGATCGTCCTTTCCCATTCCCTCTTTTCTGATCCAGGGCTCACCGGGTACGGAGTCCTGGATTAACGGGAACGGTTATGGGGAACTTTCTTCGAGGACATCTCGAGGCAGAGATTAAAATCTCGGCGAGCGGCAAGAGTCCTTTTACTCCGCTCGGGGAGATACCATATCGGAACCAGTTCCAGGACGAGAATCGCCTGATATCGTCGAAATAAATCCCAGGACTACTGGAGCAGATAATAATTAACACGTACCTAACAGTAAACCATGCGCGGGAGGTCTAAGGTCTACCATAACGGTCAGACTTTTCTAGAGACACCCACGATCCTCCCAAGGAGACCCCGAAGAGGCTGGAGGTCCTCGAAAAAGGAGAAAAATCCTAAGAAAATCGCAGATCGAAGACCAAGCCTCGCAAAGGCACGTGGAAGGTCGGCGACCCTCGGAGAGGTACGAAAATAGGTTCGAACCTCCGAGAGGAGGAAGATGCAAGGTGAACGGGAGTTTTCCTCCTCACGGTTGGAGAACCGCCAGAAAAGTCGCGGAGAGAGGGCGGGAGAAAAAGAGACGGGCAAAGTGGTCCTATGAGAGGCCTCCCAATTTTTCGAGGTTGCCGGTGAGTTTTTTAAACATTCTATAAGGTCCCCCAGCCCCTCCAGGACGATATCGACCGAGTCATCAAGGTACATTATTACCTATCCCGGGGTGCATATCCAGGAATATGTGCTCATCCTCGAGCACAAGTACAACGAAGTCGTGTTTGTTCATCCCGAAGGCGGATTTGCATACCTATGCCTTATGACAGGAGCCATGTCTAGGGTCTCATGAACGAGTCCTGCTCCCTCCTTTGGAGAAAAGGGAGAGAGAAAGGACTCGAGAGTCCTCGTAAAGTGTGTCAAGCGAGCCAGCTTCGAGTGATCCCGGCTCGGATCTAGGATCTAGGATCTACGAGAGGCACATCGCGAGCGATCACTCCCGCCGCTCGGAGTGATCTTTCGTCATCGGCGCGATGGGCGATATGCACGTGGGCAAAAACTCCCTAGGTAAACACTCGGCTGACATTTCGACATTTCCCCCCGAGCCGAGCCACACCGACGAGGGCAAACACTCGGAAATCGTATCTCCGGGATTTCTTTCCAGCGGAGGCCTTGCGAAACGAGACGGCCGAGCAAACAAATGCCAATCGAATTGGTGGCCGGTCTCTTTTCCGCCGCGGAAAAGGAGTCGAAAGGCAAACACTCGACTGGTTCCTCGAGACAGAAGTGGACACTCCGAAATCCCGAGTGCCGGTCGTCTCGAAGGTGGAGAAATAAACCCATAAAATGGATACCCTTGTGTACCCCGAAATCGAGGGTCCAAGAGTAGTCTTGACCATGAAGACGTGTGATAAGAGGTACGAGAAAAGATATGCCACAGAGACGAAGGGACCATTTTGAGGTTAGCTTGGATCCAACCAAGGGGTCTTGGGGCCCTTCTCGAGACGAGGGATCCCCCTGGACCTGGAGGGGTCCTTTGGTCCTGGCTCCCAGGATCGCGGCGCGGCTCCTGGAGCCAGAGAGTGCCTCCTTCGACGAAGGTGGTGCAATTTCTGCAGCTGACCCACTTACCATGAGCCGGTGAAGAAACGACGGAATGCCACCAATGTACAGGGCCTTTCACTCGGTCGGCACCGAGGGCGGGATCGCGACAGTCGCGGGCCCGATCGGTCCCATTTTCCGAAAAGGTCACCCGACAGTTTTGCCATTTCCTCCCGACCTCTCGGAGAGTCTTACGCGGCGTCTCCGAAATTTCAGATCTCGAGGATCGGCGATAAACGCTCCAAAGAGAGGTTTACTCCTTGAAGGTACTATGGATCGATATAAACGCGGTGAGATAAAAAAAGGACAAATTTTAGTTTAAGATACTACGGTGGAAACGCGGTGAGATAAAAGGAAAAAAAAAATGATAAGTTTTAGCTGAAGGTCCTACGGTGCGAACGCGGAAAAAGTGAAAGATATCGGTACCGGCCCGATTCAAGTCGCGATCCTGATCTGCCTCAACCCGGAAGTGCTTGCCCCAAGGTCGGTGGATATTTCCGCACCTTCCGTGGACTCGTTAACGCGGAATTAAACCGCCTAGAATTTCGCCGAGATCGCGGATCGCGACGAAAGCGAGAGGCGAGAAGGGAACGGTACCGACCCGGGTAAACGGGGGGGCGAGAGCGAGCATTATCGCGCATAATCGCGCGATAAATTATTTTTGATTGCCGCCTCGTAAAGGCGGGCCCTGAATTGTTATTTAACGATCTATTAATTCAGCTGGTCGCAATTTGCAAGCGAGATGCCAGCTGAGACAAGGCCGCTCTCGCGGACGGGCCCACCTCGCCACGAGGTCCTCCCACCTCGCCTCGTCCTCCTGCTTTTCAACCCTTCCCTCCCCGCGTCCTGCGAGCGCAATCCCGCTGATGTGAATATAATTGTTTAATAACTCATTGTCGAAGACAAGGGAGCCGCCTAGGAGGCTCCTACGTGCGTAGAAACGCTCTTTCGAAATGGCCGGGGCGCGTTCATTGAATGGCAGGGTACATGGCGGGATATTAATGGCACTTCCCCCACTACTAAGCACTTCCCCCTCCACCGGACTACGTACATGGTCGCGCGTTCGTGCAGAAAATTGTAAAAAATGTGGAAAAAAATTTTTTTTTGCAATTTTTTCAAATTCCCCGAATAACCAGATCGAGAGGCCTGGTCTGGTGGAAGAGATATCGATTCTTGAGGTCGATTGCGAGGCCCAAAGCGAGTTGGGCCCGAAAGAGCGGTCATCGGTGGACCGGTTCCGGAATGGCAGATCCAGAGGATCGATACGAGGATCACCGCGGGAGATCCTCGATCCCGATCCTTGGGACCGATACCTTGGTCTGCCCGGAAGTGCGGACCGACTCGTGCCAGTCAGGATTATCAAGTTGGTAGCCGTGGGGACCGGCCGTGTATAAATATTACCATTACGCCGATAGCACCGATGTTGTCGATTTATCGTCCGTAAACAGAACGTAAATTTCACTTATTTTACCGGTCTGGCGCCGAAGTGGTCGCTCTACTTGCGGACCTCTATCTGACCGAACTCCTTGAGAAATTATCCAGGGTCGATTTTTCAGGACGTCCATTTATCCGGTCTCTGTACCACGAGACACGACGAAAAGAATAGAATTTTCAGAGATCGATCTCTGAATATTTTCCAAATCTCTTTAGAATTTTTCTCCCGACAGGGTCGATCGATTCTCTTGCAGATGGCGTGTCTCGGCGTCTCGACGTCGATCGGCGCTAGTCTTGGCCGTAAGCGCGGCTGGACGATTTTGATTTACGGCTAATTGCTCGCGGTATTTTTCCAGACTTCCGCGGGAAGGAGAGAGGGCGCTTTGCATCTCATGAATGGCCAAGTCATTTTCGCGTGTCGCGGCGCCCGAGCGCGCCTTAAAGTCCCGCCGGGGAAAAAAGGTAAAAGGTACAGGCGACGGCGATAATGCTCGCCTCTTCGGGTTCCCCGAGTCTGGAGAACGGCTCGAAATTGATATTTTCGATTCGAAGGACCTCGTCCTGGAATTTAAGGAGCGGACACCAACTCGCGGTCCATGGATCGAGGTAATCGGAGATACGTGGACGTCCTCGGATATCCTTGGATATATAGGTATACCCAAAAGGAGGGACACCCTCCCGTCAGGTTCTCGTTATTTCTCCGGAGGATTTTTCGACGTCGCAACGTGCCCGAGAAAGAGCGACAGGACAAACAGGACGAAGAAGAAGACCCTCGCCCTGCATCGTGACCAAACGATCTCATTGTCCTGCGGGAGTCCTTTGTGGAGGTGTCGTCGGCCGGGAGGTGCATCCCAGGAGATGCATCCTGTCGTCGTTTACGGTCCCCCGGCGAAGGATCCTTGCAATAAACGTCGAAAGACGTGGCACGGTCCTGCGTCTTCTGGCGCGCGAAAAAGAGGCCGCGAAGAGCTGGGACCAAAATGGCGGCGCGTCCTTTGGCCTCTCTTCCTCCGTTACCCGCAACCATTTAATTAATTATCCATCCTCAGGACTCGGCAAGATGCGCTAACCGAGACATCCACCCTCTGAGGACCCTCTTCGAGATGAAAAAAATTCTCCTCGGCATGAATGGGACCGGTCACGTGGTCGTTCATAGTAATCAGAAGGAGGCAGCGAGGAAGGACCTCTTCGGGTCAAGTCGTGCCGGAAATGGCGCTGAATCATGCCGGATCGCGCTTACGATCGTCCACGATCGAAACCGGTCCCTCGTGTCGGTGATCCTTAAATCCTGACGACCTCCCGGTGAGGTTGGCCCGAAGAGCGACCTTGAAGAGGGCCTCGAAAAGGCGACACCTCGTTAGCCTTGGTCCGGGTGTCCTCTTCGTTTCTTCTGGCATTTCGGAAATTCTGGACATCGAGGCAAACCCTCCAGATTACTGGGAACTGTAGATCGTCCTTCCCCGAGGATTCGTCCATAAGGACTCAACTCTTCGGGTACTTTGCAAAGTCGCTAACGAGGTCTCGGGACAGGAGAAAATAAGGGCGATAATCCGAGAAGAGGAGGACGAAGATCGATGAGCTCGGCCCTGCAGGTCCTCGGATCGACGTCGACCGGGAGTCAGGGGACCCGGGGAAAATATTTTCTCCGGGTGCTAGCAATTACCCCGAGGAACTAGTTCGGGCCCGATGCACGCCTCATTACCCCGGGTCCCGAGTTATATTTATGCGTCTATACTGGATGGTTATTATAATTGCATGTCGCCCCTGCGTGATTTATGGAGGACGGCTAAACACTCTTTAGCGGCCGTCCCTCTCCACGTGGCCACCGCCTCGAAGAAGGCCTTCGTCCAAAAAGGCGTTTCCGCCTGGGACTTTCCCCGGGGAACGGGGCCGGAAGTCCTTAAATCGAAAATACTTCGATTTCGAATTTTCCTACCCGGTGGAACTTCCCCACTTACCGAGTTGGAGTCTTCCAGAAAGTGGCCCATGGTGATGACGTCCAGGGTCACCTGGCGAGGGTCCTGCAGCTCCTCCAGGGGACAGTACAGCGCCTCGCTCACGAAGTACGGCTCTGGACAGGTCAACCTGGAACGACGTGAAATGATTTCTTTCACTCCTCGGAATTCGATTTTCGGATTTCGGGAGGATGGTAATTGATAAATAGGATGCCTCCGAGAATTACCGGAGGAGCCTGATCGTGATCGATGCCATGTCCTACGTGCCATAAATTGATTCCGATGAAATTACGGGTCTGTTCCGGGGACGGGGAACGGCCGAGGATAATCGAGGGCCGGGGAATATTTCGAGTTCGCGTGGCAGAGGCACATCAATACTCGACAAATGACTCCAGGAGGCGGTGCGAAATTTCGAGTCGACTTTCGGGATCGTTGCGTTTAAGGGCACTTTACGAAATGCACTCCGGTCTCCTCGGGGAATTTAATAAAAAGGCGGGGGAAAAATTGCGGTGCCCCTAACCTCGAATTTTGGGATCAACCTAGGGAAGGTAAAACGACCGCAGGGATTTTTCTTTTTTTCTTTTTTCCTTCCTCTTCGGAAAATCGGGACTTCTTTCCACCGTCCTCCGGGGGCCCTCCACCCACCCGATTATGGAAATCGGGCAAAAACCTCCGGCCCTCCTCGAAATATTTTAACACCGGTGCACTCGCTCGCGAGGTGGATTCTTCGGGATTTTTATTTTCGCTCGCGCCCTCCTTCCTTCCCTTTCGCTCGTCTCTTGCGTCTCTTTCCTTTTTCCTCGGGGCCAACGATAATGATACCCACACGACGGCCCGGAACGGTCTCCCGGTAATAATATTAATGGCTTCGGGAACTTTCGGGCCGGGGGAAAGAAGGGCCGTTTGTAAAAAGGAACAACCGATCCTCCGGGGAGGATCTTAAGTCGAGGTTAAAACCCCGGAGACCGTCGAAGGGAAGAGTCCTTCGAGGGAACCGATCGCCACGAAAAGGCTTAGTTTTCGGACCCGATTGGACCATTCTCCAAATCGAGCCGAATTTCCAGAAAAGGCCAAATTTCGTCGCGGAAAAAAAAAATCACGTATGTGGAAAACATTCCAAGAGGTGAAGTGAATTAAATCTAATTAAATTCAGTTAAAATAGCTTGATTTATTCCCAGGAACAGGAAGGACTCGCGCGTCACCTTCCTCGTCCACTCTTCTTTTTATGAGCCCCAGGACTCGGAGATTGCGCAAGGAGATTCCAATGGTCCTCGTAAAAAAGATAGGTAAATACATAAATCAATCAGCGCTAATTGGGGAATTTCCTAGGACCGGCGCGTGGGAAAATCGGGCCCGAAAATCGGAGGTCCTGGCGCCGGTTCCTCCGGATTCGCTAACTAACCATGGCGAAGGATTCTCCCCGCTCGAGTGGACGATTCCTCGGTGGATTTCGTCGAGGGGAGCAAAAAGGACCGGTCATTCGAGAGCGGGCTTCCACTCGAAGGATCTGAACCCTTGGGAGCATCCTTGCAGCCGGAAGTTCCTCTTCCCCTCTCAATCTGAATTCTTTTCTAATCAACGGTCATTCTTGGATTCGATTCTTCAACTCCCGTTCCTGCGTGTTTAATCCTTCGCAATTTGTCCGAGTACACGCGGAGGATAATCCTTGACGAACGGCGCGTATTAATTTCATAGCTCACGCGAGTCGAAGGACCTCGAAGAGGAGCTGCCTCGCCGTTTATGCACCGCAGGATTGGTCGAGCGGGCGTTAAACTTTAATCGGGCAATTATGCATAATTATTAATAAGCTGATAATTCACTCGGGACTTTTACGCGACCGCGATCGCTCGTTCCCCGTTGCCTCCCCCTGAGGTGTAAAAGCAACCGTCCACCCACGAGGACGAGGTCCTGCGGCCATTCCAGCTTTTTATTGGCCGGTCGAATCGGATCGTTACCGAGCCGGTGGGATAGCGAGTCTATTTCTGTTATCATTGACGACTCCCAAGAAACCGGCAAACACCTCTCGAGGTCTGCTCCGCGAGGTCCTGCGATCCTTGATCAAGAATACTCAAGAAAATCTCATATCTTGTTCCTCGACATAATTCTCTTCCATTTACATTTCGCACCTTTCAAAAAAAAAAAAAATAACAAAAAATACTCCTGAAGATATCCAGTCTGGGTATCCAATTTTCAAGGAAGTCACATCTCGTCGCAAGGACATAGGTCCTGCGCGATTTCCTTGACTTCCTGTCGAGCAATTTCATTTCGGGATGTAGAATTCGGCCGATTTGATAATGAATTTTTTGCCCTCGGAATTATCGGTTTCGTCGATTTGGTCGGACAATCGGGATAAATGCCACGAGGAAAGGGTGGAGGAAGGCGTTGAAAACAAAGAACTGTCAGGATCGATCGTTTCACGGTGGAGGAGGGCCTCCTTGGGTATTTCTCGGATAAATCCGCGATTCGATCTGAGGACACCCGTTGTTAGATACAAAGCCGGTCTTCCCGGGGCACGTCGGGCGCGGCGTTTCGTTATATTTCTCGTGTTATTATTGAGTCGTGTAAGAGATATCGCATCTACATGAAAACCAGAAGTAACTGCGTCCTACCGGGGGAGTAAAGTCATCATTTACTCCGGAGTTTCCGCACTTAATCCGGCCCTAATAACAAGTCCTGCCTCTCAGCTCTCCAATGCAAATCGACGCATAACCGGTAATCAGGATCGTCGAATCGCAGATATTTCTTTTTTTCTTTTCATTTTACCCCGACCAGCCTTTACGTAGATTTAGCGTTCGCTGTAAATTTCAGCGGCCTCCGCGAGTCGACGAAAAGACAGCTCCGAAGCCGGTTTCGATTTTTCCCTTTCCTTATAATACCCTTAATCGTCGCAAACGGGAAACGTCGATCATGAATTTTTCGTCTTCCGAGGGCGATCCAGAGTATCGAAATCGACCCCCAGCAGAGTCGATCCTGCGGTCGAGACTGAGGGGTTGAAAAATTGCGTGCGGCCGCACCTCCGACTGACGCAGCGGGCGATGCGTCAGCGCGTGCGGCCCGGGACACGCGTTTTCGCGTGCGGCCGATCCGCGCGTTACGCGCCAAATTGGCCGGCGAGCCGCGTTTAGGGCCGATTTGCCAAAACGGGACCGAAGGGCCGCTCCTTAATGCCCGAGCTCCTCCTTCTTCCCGGAAAGAGTGCAGTCCCCCTCTTCGTTAGCTCCACGCCGTCCAGGAGAAGAGGGACGAGAAAAGGGGGCGAGAAATGAAGAGGGCAGAAAAAAAAAGAAGTTCGGCCAATCAGGAGGGGATTTTTCCCCGAATCTCAGAAATCGCTGGGGTATTAACGCGCGAGGTTTATTCATGCTCGCCGCGTCGTCCTTTTCCAGGGATCGTCCCGAAAGTTGGCGTCGCGTCGTCAAAGACCGGCAGGGGCGAAGAGGTCGTCCCCAGAAGCGCGAAAGCGGCGCTCCCGTGGAGCGAACGATCGCTCCCGAGAATCCTCGGGTCCCTCTGTAATTTACAGGAAACGAGGACTCGGCCGGCAATCATTCCAAAAACGAGGAACCCAAGTCTTTCTTGGACCCCCTCAGGAAGCGGAGGCTCGAATTAATATCGGCCATAGCTTCTTCTACCCCTCGTCCTCGCCCTCTATTTTCCCTCCTGAGATTGAAAACATCGAATAGACATGCCGAGAAGAAACGGAGAACGGAGGAGGGCACTCTCTGGCTTGGATTCTTGAGAAGGGTGGGACCAAGATGGACGCCGGGTTCTCCACTTTCCAGATTTCGTGGGCTCTCTTCAGGGTGGATTTCCACGTGGAAGGGTTCTACTAGAGGGTAGCGATGGGTTTTGAGGGTAGAGCGAGGATTTTCCCAGGATGGGGGCGAATTTCCCCGGGTAGGGCGAAAAACCACCGGGCGATCTCGCTTGTGCAGCCCGCGGAGCGTCGAAGTCTCCGGTCGAAGAGGGCGCAGAGTCGGCGCATTCTCGGAGCGGTTCGTGCGCTCCAGGATACGCTTCCCTTGGAAAAATACCGGGAAAAACGTGGCTCCTTCGGCTGGAAGAAGCAACCCTCCGGTCGGTTGACTCGCGTCCGTCAATTAGCCGGAACGATCGCGGTTCCGCCGTACTCGCGGCGCATCTCTCGGAAGCCTCGGCGAGGCAGGGCGAAGGGGCGGAGGCGCGCAAGAAGAGGCTCGGAGAAGATGATGATGAAGTCCGGCCTTGGGGGGCCAGCGGTGCCCTGGAAGAAGGAGAATCATAGGGATTACCCTGTCGTTGGCATGCGAACGAGTAATCGGCCCCTAATAGCGAACGTTTCCTGTGCGGCCGAACGACACCGGGATACCGCGAACCGCGAGTCGGCCCCCTTTCCCCCGTTGATTCGCGATCGCGTGTCTTAACCCCTTCGGTCGACCGACCCCGAAGAGGCGGAAAAAAATCCCGAGGTCTTATCAAACGCGACGAATTCATGGAGATAACATTTTCGCGAGGACCTGCAGCTCTCCTCTCCAGGACCCGTGCACCTCCCTTTTGCCGGCGGCCTGGAGGAGGAGGCGCTCTTATTTTTCCTGCAGCCGTTCTCCGCGAGTTCTCCTTCTTCTTCGTTTTCCCTTCCGGACACACGATTCGGCGATGAGTATATACGGGCCGCAGCTAACGGCCGGGTACGTAACAACAAGGCGGTCGGCGGTTTCTTTCCGGCGCGTTGGTACCCTGAAGAAACCCACCAGAACCGGAGGAGGGGGGCGGGGAAAGATCCGCGATATTAAACTTCGCCAAGTTTCCGGCCGACGTGGCTCGCGTCCGCTTCTTTTATCCGGCCGCTCCGCGGCCCGAAGAGGCGAGAGATTACTTTTGGGTTTTTCTTTCTTTTTTTTTTTAAATCCCCGCAAGCAGGATCCGAATTTCCGACATTTCCCTGCGGGAGATATCGCGATGCATCATGGAGTACCTTGGTGCTCCCTTTCATTTCTTGCGCGTCGCGTTTCCTTGGGCCCAGAAAATGGCGGCGTCGTCGCCGATGCGGCCGGCGATACGTCGAAGGATCCGCGGCGGGCACCCGGAGCGTTTCTTGCGGAATTCCGATGCAGATACCACGGGCCGAACGAGTCCTCCCGAGGTTCCCTC